GTAGGAACACAGGTTCACTGTGAGACATTGTAAGTACAAGCATGACTTCTTAAAAGGGCAATGCCAAGCTCAAGTCTTATGCGGGGACTTGTGTAAGATTCAAATGTGTGTGCATTGAGGGGAAGAAAATAGACCCTGTTGCATTTTTCACTCAGAAAGGAGGAAAATGAGCCGCATGAGTACACAGGCTGTCTTTGAAGCCCTAAAACTTCAGATCCTGTCATTTGAGTGTGGGCTGATTTTTACCTCCACTTCCATCTACAACCAAAAGAAAATAAAATGTTTTCTGAGAATCTGAAGTGTGTCCCCAGAATCTTGGGTTTCCAGGGAACTAGCTGGGAAGCCACAATATTATGCTGGGTCAGTGTGGAAGCTGTGATGTCAGCTGGTCCCCTCTGGTCACTCTAGTGTGGCTCACTGACAGTCATGTTCCCACTCTTGTCTCTCCCCGTGGAGTTGGGTATGGGGAAGATGTGTTTGTTAGTGCTGCAGCCCATCCAGGATGAATTGCTTTCCTCCTCCCTCCCTTTAAACTTCATCCTATTTTGTTTTGTATCCAAAACTTGACATCCTTATACATTTTCCCCTTTGAGTTGCTTTTTTCCCCTTGCTGTAAGATTAAAAAATAAATAAAAGTAAAAAAGAATAAGAGATTTTTTTTTTGACTACGCTGCACAGGGAGTGGAGGGCACTGCAGTAACAGAAGAATTACCTCTTAGGATATTTTGAAGTATGCCTTTAGTCAGATCCATGACGTTGGCCAGGTGTGATGCACAGCTGCAGTCTCAGCACTTGCGAGATTGAGGCAGGAGGATTCAGAGTTTGTGTCAAGGCCAGACTACACATCAGAAAACACTGCCTTCAAACAAGACAAAATAAAGTCAGAAGTCTGTGTTCCAAAAATACACTTTCTTCTGTATGATTCCCATCTCTTGCCAACCCAAGAGCGTCTCTCTCCAGTTTGGCCCCAGGTTTTCTAGCTGTCTGCATTGTACATCATAGTGACCCTGTTCTCCCTTCCCAGTTGAGTATAAAACTCTCCCCCCTCCCCCCACTCTCTTTCTCTTCCTCCTCTCTCCCTCTCTCTTTCCTTTCCCTCCTCTCCTCACCCCCCTTATTTTTCTAAAGCTGCTCAAGGACAGATGCATGGGACTCAGCTCTCTGCGGCCTTCATGTTCTTGTAAACACCTCTCCGTGTTGTCACACTTGAATTGTTTCCTTCTGCTTTGAAAATTCCTTTGTGTCATTTCTTCTTTGGCGGTTCCCTCCCTCCCTCCCACTCTGGCTGTTGTCTTCCAGTGGAGTTCCTGTCAATGGTGTAGGCTCTGCTGGCCTTGTCCTTTGTAGCATGTGTGATCTTTGTTCAATTTGTCCTCCATGAAACTTACCAATGGGACCTCCCACCGTTTATTGTAAATTATTTCATCAACCACAGCTTTGATTTCTATGTTGCTCTTCATTTTCCTAATTGTAATATATTCTTGAATTTGGGGAGGATATTACTTTTTTTAGGAAGTAAATTTTCATCACTTTCATTTATTTGTATTTTTTATTTTTAAATATTTACCCATGATTATGTAAATAATCTTCCCAGGGAAGAGGAATTATCAGTACCTTGTGACTCTGAGTTTTCATCTAAGGGACCCTGGACACAGAGCAGGCTGTCTGAGTGAGGTGCTGTCCACATAGGCACATAGCTGGGGCCCTTGGTTGTCAAAGTAAGAGGAACTTTATCTGTGTGGCCAGTGAATTGATTGGATGCCTGGGTTTTCTATTTATTTTGAGACATGAGTGTGAGTAAGTGTGTGTGAGTGTGTGTGTGTGTGTGTGTGTGTGTGTGTGTGTGTGTTTGGTGTGTGCAGAAGCCAAGTGTGTGTGTTTGGTGTGTGCAGAAGCCAAGTAAAATATCCAGTGTCATCCTATATTATCCTTCACCTATTGCCTGTGCCAGGTTCTGTCACTGAGCTGGAAGTTCACTGTTTTGCCTAGGCTGACTGACAGAGGGTACATAGAATTGACCTTAATCTGGTATGGTCTGATATGAGAACAAGAAAATGACTATCATTAAGCAAGATTTGTTTTGCTTTGTGTTGCATTTTTCCAATGAGTTCCCAAAGCAAGATATAGAGAACCTGGAAGAGGACCATGGCAAAGCACTGGGTTGGACGTGAGGCAGAAAGCACAGAAGAGGAAGAAAGTGGGCAGTGGTGTTCGCTTTGATTTCCTTGGGTTGATCATCCTGAGGGGCAGATGGGTTTACCATTAACTAACATAATGTAGTATACTGTGGTTGTAAGAGACAGTTCCCACTTGCCAGCACTGGGGTGTGAGGGCCCTGAGTATGAGAGCTTGGTGGAGTAGGTGGTAGGAGTATGGCTCCAGTTTGGTTCATTTAGATTCAGAAAAGACTCTTGGAGCTTGGTGTGCTGGTTAGTTCTGCAAACTAGAATCACCTGGAAGAAGAAGGAACCACAACTAAGGAACTACTCCCCACCCCATCAGGTTGGCCTATGGACTTGTCTATGTGACATTTTCTTGACTATTGATTGATATGTGAGGGCCCAGCCCTCTGTGGACTATGCTGCGTGTACTGGCTGGTTTTATGTCATCCTGACAGGAGCTAGGAGGAGGAAGCTTTGATTGAGAAAAATCCCTTCATAAGATCAGGCTGTAGGCAAGCCTGCAGGGCATTTTCATAATTAGTGATTCATTTGGGAGGACCTAGCCCATTGTGGGTGAGGCCATTCTGGGCTGATGGTTAAGGGTTCTATATGAAAGCAGGCTGAGCAAGCCAAGGGAAGCAGGCCAGTATGCAGCATCCCCATCAGCTCCTGCCCCCAGGTTCCTGCCCTGAATGAGTTCCTGCCCTGCTACTTCTGATGATGAGCTGTCATATGGAGCTGTGAGGAAATAATTCCGTTCCCAAGTCGCTTTTGGTCATGGTGTTTCATCACAGTAATAGTAACCCTAACCAAGATACTATTATTGTGTAGGAGTTCATATGAGAAAACAAGCTGAGCAAGCCATGTGGAGTAAGCCAGGAAGCAGCATTACTCTGTACTCTCTACTATGATCCCTGCCTCTAGATTCCTGCTTTGGCTTCCATTGATGATAGACTACAACCTACAAACCAAGTTAATGCTTTCCTCCCTAAGTTGCTGTTGGTTGTAGTGTTTATCATGACAACAATAGGAAAAATAGGACCCTTGGCCTATCTTTCTGTCTAAGAACTGCCTGATCCTAAGAGGGAAGCCCCTGCAGGTTCATCTAGCTCTGAGATCTCAAAACATTATAATATAGAAAACATAAGAGATGGTTGGTACAAGTTGTTAGTTTTAACAGTTGCTTTAATCTTTCTGGTGTGCATGTGTTTCCTTTATTCTAATCATAACTTCTGTCTGTACTTATAGGGGATAAAGCTGGGGTACATTCGTGTAAAACACTTAATTTGCCATCTACCCACCACCTTATCATCACTGTTTTCTGGAATCTCTAGGGCCCTGCTGGTACCCAGATCCTGCACCTGTGGTTTTAGTCATTCAGAAACATCTGTTAACACTACTCAAGTGTGAGTCCCATTCCAGAGATTGGAACTAGAGTTTTGGTCACACAGGTATAAAGTCCTGGCTTCATGGGGTCTCCTGTAGGCACTGTAGGCATGCCATACTTCTCATCTCTTGCCTTTAGGTTTCATGATGGATAGGAACTTTGTATTGGATACTTGGTAGAAAACATCTGTACTTGTTAGTCAACTGTCAACTTGATACAACCTAGACTCACCTGAAAAGAAAGTCTCAATGAGGAATTGTGTAGATCACATTGGCCTGTGGTCATATTTGTGTGCAAACAGGGAGGGATGCCCTGATTGCTAATTGATTTAGGAAGACCCAGCCCACTGTAGGCAGCACCATTCCCTAGGCAGGTGTTGTATAACAATCTCCTCGGAAATAAAACCCTTTATCTTAGAGGGATGCCCATTAAGACATGTTCTAATCCACAATATTCCATCCTGCATGGAATCTGGTGAGTTCAGGAAATAAGATTCAAGAGCTTTAGGAAATCCCTAAAATGACTAAATATACCAGATCCTCCAAGCATATGTAAGCTGTGTGGACTGCTGAGAGACACTCTTAGACAAAATGGGCTACCTGGAAGAGGCTCAGACCGGCTGAACTCCCTAGAAGAAACAAAGGCCAGCCAAACTACCTGGAAGAAGCAGAGCTAATCTGAGCTGCCTGAAAGAGGCAAAGACAATCTGGGGAGCCTGGAGGGTCTTAGACCAACTGACCTAGCTGGAAAGGACACTACTTAAATTACTCAGATTACTGTAGACTATGCAGTGTATGCCAACTCAGTCATTTCTGAGTTGTCATTCATTCTGGGGTAGACTTTGATGGGGCAAGTATTTTGTGTCATTTCTGCCACGTAAGTAATCGCTAACCAGTATTCCTGTAATTCCTGTAATTCCTGTAATTTCCCAGTGAAAATTATTGGTTCATCAAGTTGGATTTTGGTGGTATTCTTCCTCATCTGGGATGACTAGGTATTTGTTCATCCTCAGAATAATGTTATCCAATGGCAGGGAGTCCTGAAGAGGGTAAGAGTCTAAAGCTGGCTGAGAGAGAAAGCAAATAGGGGTCTCTGTGTTTATTCTCCCTGCTCTTGACCATGTGTGTGATGCTTTGTCATTGCCTTGACTTTCCTGTAACCTGCAGTTGTGAGCCAAATACATCTTTATTTTCTAAGTTGTTTTAATCGTAGCAACAGAAAGGACATCACAGTTCATATGAAATGGGAGTGGTCATTGGCACCTCACTAAGATGGCCTTCCAGGTGAGCAACATTGGTTCTCTTAGGAAGATGTGAGATTGTCCAGCTACAGTGCAGGAAGCTTAAAAAAAAAAGCTGCTACTTTCTGACCCATAAGCACAACAAATCTAAGGACAGTAAGAAACCCACTGCCTGGAGGTTCTGGCTCATGAATCCTTTTCCTGTTTCTAGTGCTGATGAACGGTTTGATGCCACATTCCACACCAATGTCTTGGTAAATGCATCTGGGCATTGCCAGTATCTCCCTCCAGGTAAGATCTACTCCCTTGGCCTCCATCCAGTGAGAAAATTTAAGCAAGTATGTGCATCAGTTCTGAGGACTGCCGTCCTAAGGGAGGGACTGGTGTCACAAGGACTGCCCTCCTGATGGGAGGACTGGTGTCCCAAAGACTGCCCTCCTGAAGAGAGGACTGGTGTCCAAAGAACTGCCCTCCTGAGGGGAGGACTGGCTCCATTTTGGCTTCCCACCCTCCCCTTCCCATCAGAACTCTCACGTGTCTCTTCAACTCACTCTAGATGTCATCTCTGATTTGAGATCCCATTTCAGATGGTTTTGCCATGGTCTGTCTTATGTCCTTATTAATGTTAATTCACAGTCTAGTCTCCTTTTGTTGAGTCATTTCTAACCCTTCTTTCTACCCATAAGCCTGATAGGCAGGCCTTTTCTCTTTCATCCCCTCCCAGCTGGCACACAAAGTTGACAGGTATTGTGGCGCTGGGCAAATAGTGGGCACTCTGGGTTCATGAATTCAGGATTGCTCGAATTACATGCAATACCCAGTGCCTTCAAGGGAGCATCCTCTGGTGATTGTTCCTCAACTCCTTTCTTTTCTTCGTCTTAACCTCCTGGTGGTAAATAGCTTCATGGGGTTGCTCTGTTTCCCTGCCTGTCATTACTGTGGGACTCACAGGATCCCAGGCTGCTCATTGAGCAATCCACAGCCTGGGAAACTGCTGCTTCACACCCTTTGAGACACATTCCAGGTGTGTTTTAGCATGTAGGTATTAATATTTTTTACTTTATCATTTAGAAGATTTGTTAACATACTTTCAAGAACTGTGTTTTCCTCTCTGAAACTGCTTCTAGCAAATCTAGCAAACCCTCTGCCACATGGTTGCTGCTGCACTCAGAACACACTCCCAACATATGCACCCCTTGAATATACAACTCCTCATAACACCCACACCCACCCACACCCACACACACCACCCTTCCTTATCTCACAGCGCATGGTGAAGCTGGTTTTGCCTATTGCTTACAGTGCTCTTCCTGTTAGCAGGTGATAAGAATTCTGTAGACAGAATCTCTGTTTGCTCTCCTTACAATCCATCACTCCTCATCTGCAGGTGGCTGTGTGTCAATAAGTGAATGAATAAGTGATTGAATCTAGCAGGGACATATCCCTCTCACTGATGTTTATATTGATTAAAAGAGTGTTGCATCTCAGGCCTTCGGTCTTAAATCATCTGCTTGCCTACTCCAGCCCTTCCTCCACACTGCAGATGCCTTGCAGAGGGGACTGTGTGATGCCTTTCGGCACACTTTCAGTCAAGTAATGAGTGGTTGTGAGCCACCATGGGACTACTGGGTCCTCTGGAACAGCAGCCTGCGTTCTTAACCACTAAGCCATCTCTCCACCCCCTTCGTGTGTTTATTTTTAACAGGCAGATGGAGGTAGAATTTGCATCTTATACATTTAAAGTGTCTTAACTCCATGAGTTTTAGTAAATTTACAAAGGATCACTACAATCCAGTTTTATAATGTCCCCATTATACCTTGTCATTTGGCAGTTAACTGATCTTGCTGCAAACCTCAGACAACCTTTGAATCTTTCTGACTCTTTCTTGGGTCTTTTCATAGAAATGGAATCAAATAGTTTTCTGGGTGTATTTGGATTGGGGGAGATTCAGTCCATTAACGGTAGGGAAATGCCAATAGTGACTTTCAGGTTCCTGTGGACATCTGAAGTAATTCTGTAAGTCATATGTATGTGATGTGTGTATGTGTGTATAAGTTTTACACACACACACACACACACACACACACACACACACACACACACACACTACATTATTGCTGATTGAATTTTGAGCCTCATATATAGTAAGTAAAGCACTCTACTGTTGAGCTATATCCCTAGCCTTCTTTATGCCTTTTAATTTTGAGATAGGGTATCACTAAGTTGCCTAGGATAGCCTTGAGCTTGTCATCCTCCTGCCTCATCTTTCCAAGTATCTGGGATTGTAAGTCATATTTAAAGGACCTCTAAGGGACACACCTTACTGTTTTCTCAGCATAGGTGTGCAGTGGAGTGGACAGGTGTAAAGCCCTTTAGTTCCTCAATTTAGTCTCTAATTCAGCAGAAGAAATGTGAGATGTGTTGCCCTTGATTCACTAGCACTTCAGTCATTCATGCCTTCCAGGAAAGTCCAGTTTGCTATGGGCAGGCAAGAGCACAGGCCACAAAAGTCTGGAGTGGACTTGTATGTCTCCTCACCATGACCTTCTTGGAAAGCCACTTCTGGAAATTCCACCTTCTTTCAGTGGAATGTTCCTGTATATCCAAACTCCCCTTCTTCAATTTCACACCTTATCCCATCCCTGCTGTGGAAAGTGAACAGGTTAGAATTACACTCTAAATATATTTTCAGATAACTAAATGACTTGTTACTTTAAAAAACAAACAATCAAACAAAAAACGAAAACAAAATCCTCTCCTTGCCTCTTCCAATTCTTGTCCTAACCCTTCACCATTTGTATCAACTTCTCTGGGGTTTCTCACATCCTTTCTTTTTCTCATATTGCTTAGAGTCTGAATGTACTCATGACAAATACTGTATATAATTAATTATTTGCGCAGTTTCCTGAGAAAAGCCTTCTACAACAGAGGCTATTATTGTGCTTTAATTTGAAAAGGCAGTGAAGCTTTGGCTGAGCTTCTCCAGGGGTTTTGGCAAAAGGAAAACTGGGGGGCAAAGCACCTCAACTTGTTCTGGATAGATCCAGCAAGAGTTCAGTGTGGTGGTGGGAGGGCTGCAGGAACTGCTGTGTGTTCTGAGTCTGTTTCACTTGGCTCCATTTCAATCTTGTGATCATTTCCCATGCTCACATAGGCATATTCAAGAGCTCCTGCTACATTGATGTGCGCTGGTTCCCTTTTGATGTGCAACAGTGCAAACTGAAGTTTGGGTCCTGGTCCTATGGAGGGTGGTCCCTGGACCTGCAGATGCAGGAGGCAGATATCAGCAGCTATATCCCCAATGGAGAATGGGATCTCATGGGTAAGGCCAGCAAAAACAAACACCTTGTGTCCCAGAAGAGAGGTGCTTTCTACCTGTGTGAGCTGAAAAACTGGGGATTTTTCTACTGTTCCTTTCATTGACTACACTTGACAGCCTTTTCCATCATGTCCTGAGAGCTCCAGAATGAGAAGCAGGAGTCAGTTAGAGAATGCAGCAAAAAGCCATGGTGAGGCCTGTTAAACCAACAGTGCTAGCATAAACGTCGTGGGAGCCATTCTAGTCCTATGGTATGGTTGAAATGCACATTGAAGTTGATGCTGTAAAGGAAGAAAATCACAAGTGGGTTTCAATCAGAAGTCCAAACATCAGTGTTTGGGCACAGAACAGCCTTTTACTTTGGGAGACACAGTTCACCTAGACACCACGTCAGTACTCTGCTGAGAGAGGGTGGCTTTGAATTTTAAGGCAAAAAGTACATGTGACAGTTTAGCATGGGGTGAGAGGATACACAGTGTGAGTCAGGTAGTTTGATAATGGTGTAGATCATGGTTGTTGGAAATTCCCTAAGTCCATTGGCCTGTGTAGGACATGGAGCAAACTGGTCACTCTAGCATTCTTAATCTTCTAAAGGTAATGTGAGATTCTGAGGAAATTTCTCCTTCCAGCACACAATTCCTGACACAATGCCTGCATAGCAATTTATGTCGGCAGATCTCTAAGTCTCAGAAAAAAAAGTTGATTTTTTTCCTCTGTGTAGCCATTTTGACTTTTATACCTATATTGCATCATTTAAAATCCAAACCAATATTATTATGAGTAACTTACCGTCAGGTATACATTTGGAAAAGTGTCAGATGTGATTTTACTGTGGAAATATCATAGAATGCACTTATACTAAATAAAGTAAGCCAGCTACAGAATCAGTGATACAATGTTACTGACATTGACAAAAACACTAGTATGTGGCACCTGTTTGTAATTACATTTATAATGCTGTAAAGTTGATATTATATAAGTACTTCTAGTGCATCAAAAGCATATCTACTAGTGTGCTTAAATGTCACTGAGCTATAGCATATCTGTAAAGGTTAGTTTAAATACCAGTCACCTACTTTTAGGGCTGTGCTCCTGTGTAGCACACACCTAGCAACAAAAGGCAGCTGTGTCTTCTGATGACCTGTCTCCTTTCTCTGGCACCCCATGCAGGAATCCCTGGCAAGAGGAATGAGAAGTTCTATGAATGCTGCAAAGAGCCATACCCAGATGTCACATATACAGTAACTATGCGCCGCAGGACGCTCTACTATGGTCTCAACCTGCTCATCCCCTGTGTGCTCATCTCGGCCCTGGCTCTGCTGGTATTCTTGCTCCCCGCAGACTCTGGGGAGAAAATCTCCCTTGGTAAGTGCCCAAGTCCTTCTCTGAAGCAAGCAAGACCATGCAGGAGTTCCTTGTGACCCACCACAAGTGGACCTCTGTGCCAGGATCAGACTCACCACACCAGAAACTCCTGGTTCTGCCTCTTCGGGAGACAGAGTGCCTTCCTGAGAATTGGCAGGGTCCAGGGATTCCATGATCTTGTGAAGAAGACGGGATACAGAGGGGGACCAGATCAGTTCTACCCTGATGGGTTATGTTTCTCCCCCACTGCCACCCACTTTGTTCCTGGTAGCGGGACTCCACTATGGATGGGAGACACATTAAGTTAATATCAGCTTGTATTTGTAAATTATTGTACACATTACAATAGGAATGCAATTCCTTGTAATTACTTCCCCTGTGAAGATATAAAAAGTGTGGGGGGGGGGTTGAATGGTAAAATGAGCTGCTTATATCACAAAATTACTAAATAAATACATATTCAGTGTGTTGAAGAAAGCTTTCACAAGCCTTGTATCTTCTTAACATAAGGCTTAGAATGCTAAATATCTTACTCAAGGTCACACAGCCAATTAAGCTGCCAAGTCAAGACCTGAATGAAACCCAGTCTTCTGGACACACAGTTTCTTGACCCTGCTGTGCAAAACTCTTCTTAGTATTAATGCAGTAAAGACCTTGAGAAATAATCCTGCTGGTTGATTGTCTCAAAGTTGTGGTCCCTAAACTTGTCTCCATTAGAGTGTCCTTCAGGCCCTAGCAGGTAACAGGAACTGTACGAAGAAAAATATATATGCCCATATGTACAAAACCCACAGGATTCATGTTGCGACCCCAGCTTTGAAACTACCATTGCCAGCTCGTGTGAGATGGAAGTTCAGCCTTGTTATCTGATCTGCTTAAGGAGCTCCTCATATTTTTGTTTCAGGAATAACTGTCTTGCTTTCTCTGACTGTCTTCATGCTGCTTGTGGCTGAGATCATGCCTGCAACTTCGGATTCCGTGCCTTTGATAGGTAAGACAAAGACTCAAGTGTGCCTAGGATTTCCCAGTAGATGCATGGAGGAGGAACATGTCCTTCAAGGTCCCAGAGACTTAGTCTGCCCCTCTGTCTTCTGCTGTGCAAACATGACTTGTTGTAACTATTGCAAAACACCGTAGCCCATACCTAGGCCCAAGCAGGAGGGAAAAGATGCCAAATTTGTGGCTTGCCTTTAAATTGAAGAAGTGGCCATGAGTGGTGGCATGTACCTGTAATCTTAGTATTTGTGATGCTGAGGCAAGAGAATTACAGGATTCTGGAGATTAAGACTATCCAAAGGAATATAGCATGACTCATCTCATGAGAGAGATGGGGGGCATTCATGTGTGTGCTGGAATACCCCTCCAACTCATACTTTCTGCCTTTGAGTCAAAGACTTTACAATTTGAGATTCATTATTTTCAGAATTTTTTTTATTAAAGCACATATTTTAATTCACTCAGTATCTATTAAATAAGTGTTTAGAGAAATGGGAATGGAGCAAAGGTTTGGTCTAGGATAGGTGTTTCTGCATAGGGATAAGTGACAGAAACAGGAGGACCCCATATTTGCATAGTTTTCTAGATGGAAACAAATGAGACCTGTGACTAGGTGATTTTTCAGTTCTCACTGCTGCAGCCATGACTCTGTTCCTAGTCCAGTATGTCACGGGGATGGGAACTATATGCTGTCAGAGATGGTTAGGCTTCAATGGGAGAGCTCTGTTTTGTGGTGGGGAGTGGAGTCTTTGAGGTCTAGGCTGTCCCTTTCCACCAGTGTGGGTATTAAGTTACAGACTGTTTTTTAGTACAACCACACAGGAGGCCCTGATAGGAGCCCAGCATCCCAGTAGGTGCTGCTGGGGCCCAGGCTTCTCACTGCCTCTCTTCTCTCTACAGCACAGTACTTCGCCAGCACCATGATCATCGTGGGCCTGTCTGTGGTGGTGACAGTGATTGTGCTGCGATATCACCACCATGACCCTGATGGTGGCAAAATGCCAAAGTGGGTATGTGCTGTCTCCCTGTAGAGTGGCAGCTCTCCCTGAAAGTGGATCCTCTTGTGGTTTTCTGTTGTCCAGGCCCCTAAGCAGATCTCACCCCTCTGTGTATCTTTGAGGACAGTGCAGTGGAATGGCAGTGTTTTGTACTGACATCCCAGATCAGGACTCCACACTGGCTGCTTGTGTATCCTGCTAGTATTGAGCTTTAAAAGCTCTCCTTCTACACGGCCACTGAGGAGTACAGAGTAGCAGTTGAAAGAACTAGGAGAGTGGCCATGAAACAACATGGCAGGAGCTTCCCAGCAGACTGAGGAGTGAAAAGCGTAAGAGCCAGCATGAGTGTTTCTTGGTATCTACAGTGTTTCTGATCCCTTGACAATAGAGAAGTCTGAAAGTGCCCAAGCTTCCAGTCCAAATGGTGTAGCACTTGACCAGAACCTGTACATATCCTCCAGTGGGCTGCAGATCATCTCTAGATGGCATATAGACTTCCTGATGTGTAAATGCCCTACCTGTAGTTTGTATGAGGTGCTGTTTAGATGCAAGAGAAATCTGTGGATGTTCAATACACATTCAGGTTTTATTTTTCTAAAGTTTTCTCAGTGCATGCTTACTAGAATTAATAGGGGCAGAAACCAATGCTGCAGAGGGCCAAGTTTCTATCCAGTCAATACACAGAGGTTTACAATAGTTGCCAGTAGGTAATGGACAGAGAGCAAAAGGAAGTGGATGAGGTCTCAGCCCAGGTCATGTTATCATTTTCCTATACCTGCAAGCATACGGCAGGTACTGTTATCTTCTGATTCTCACCTTCCGTGGCATTTCAGGACCCAGTATCTGAACCTCTGCATTGGCTGTTGCCCAGAGACCTTGACTAAGGCTTAGTCTGAGCCCAGACTTTCCCACACTTTCCAGAATGAAAACCAAGGTAGAGGAGAGGTGTCCCCCCACCAGCCACCACTAGTGAGCCTTGCAGATAGCCCTTGTCTTCCTGTCTGAGGATAAGAAGAGCATCCCTCTCCATCCCACAAGGAGCCTGTCTGAAGACCCGTTCAGTACCACTCAAAATCCAGAAGGAAATCTAGGAATCACTTACATGCCAAAAATGCAGCATAAGGCAACAGATGCCTTTAGGTCCCCAGCAGAACAGAGGGCTTCCAGTCTTCTGAAGACAGTCATTGTGCAATACCTAAGCGGCCTAACTTAGGAAAGGGTACTATTTATTTTCCAGTGGCCTTGTAAAAATACTAGTTCCTCTCAGACTATACTTGCCTTATATGCATAATAGAATCTCACATAAAGTTCACAGTAGCAGCTGTAGCATGTACTCAGCCTCAGTGGTTATGTCTCAGATGCCATTGTGGCATTGTTTTAGAAGCCATCAGTTCTCTTACAAAGCTGAGACACATTCCCCTGTAGTCTCTCCTTAGCATCATGATATACCTACCTTAGGGAGAAGTAAGCTAGGTTTGACTGGCATGTCTTTCTGCCTATCCATCCATTTGAAGCAGATTTCACATTACCTGTTTCAAAAGTAAGAGTAAAGAGTAAAGGAAGTTTGCTTTCCATGTTACTCCAGTCCTTTGTAATTACCAATGTTGATAACTATTTATACCAGGCTTTTTTTTTTTAAGCCACCAACCTGCTCCCAAATCATGACGAAGGACTTATTAGTTATGAATGTGTAGCCTCATATAGACTCATTTCTGGCTAGCTCTCTTAAATTAACCTGTTTTCCTTTATCTACCTTTTGGCTCAGAGCTTTTTACCTTTTCTTTCTGTGTGTCCTGCTTTTCCTGCTTCTTCCATGTCTTGTCTGGGAGCTTCCTGACTAGCTGGCCCTGGACATCTCTCTCTTTCTCTCTTGTTCTCTCCTCTCTTCTCTCCTTCCTTTTGAGCCTAGATTTCTCCTCCTATTTATTGTCTCCACCTGCCAGCTTGTCCTTCTCCTGCCTAACATTGGCCCTTTTGCTTTTTATTAAACCAATTGGGTACCTTAGGCAGGCAAGGTAAAAGAAATGCAGCATATCTTTACATAATTAAACAAATGCAGCATAAGCAAATGTAACACATCTTTGCCCAGTCAAAATACTATTCCACAACAACCATTTTACAACCATTTTAATGAATTCCCTATTTTTCTTCTGGTGTTCATGCTAATACAAAGAAATACACTCATTCTTATTTCTTTGAGTATCTTGGATGGTGTGAAGATAAAGGAACTGACACACAGAGACACAGAACCATTTTTAATGAACTGGTACCACTTTATTCTCCCAGAATCTTAATTGAGAACACTTGTCTATTACAAGCCTCTCAGAATAAAAGGCTGTTAAATCAATTGGCTGCAAGTAAAACATAAGGGTGTTTTTCTCTTGTTTTATAAAGCATGCAGCATTTTCCATTCATTCCATGTGTCTCTGGACACAGTTTCCAAGGGACTTTTATTATGGTCTGTTGCTATTATGAAGAAGATACTGCCGGGTGCGGTGATATTATGTGACATTTGCTCAAGTAGCAGAAAAAGTGTAGGCTAACAGAAGAGGTCATGGGCACAGTTTGATAAGCACCAAGAGGATAATTCTAGGTTTGGAAATGTGTTATCCTTGAAAGCTAATGATTCTGGCCATGGAATTCAAAATAGACTTGGTGACATAGATCATACTAGTTGCAGATGCATCTCAGAGAATACATGGACCCCCCCCCCCCCCCGTGGCAGGAAAGGTGACCAACCCTGCTTGGCTCTTGAGTGCATAGCTGCCTCTGCAGAGGTCCAGATTCAGTTAGAGTTTGACAGCCTCCTTTGAGATCTAGCACAGGCCTTCTGGTGTCTTCTGAAAGAGGATTGGGCTAAGTCTTGTAAGTGTTCTGAAGAGAACCCTGGGGCACCTTTGGTAGATGAGCTGTCTAAACAGCCAAGGGCTGACATTGAGCCAATTCAGTATCTTCTCTTAGTTTCCATTTATCTGTAAAATGGGGCATTTATTCTCATTTGGTGACTCCAGACCACTGAGCTGGATGATCAGCCTCGTGAGAAAGTAGCTGTGGGCCTCTGCTTTTTTTCTAATTTCGAAAAGTCTTTACAGCTATGGGCTTTCCCTAGTGCAGTTTGCCACATGGGAAGTATAAGGCTGTGAAAGGCTTCCCTAAACCTAACATTTCTTGTGCTTCTCACTATCTACAGAATTGCTTTTCGAATTTGTTGATAAGATGCCATAAACATGACTGCCAAGAAGGCAGCACTGCAGACATGAACTTCACAACTTACATTTTCCCCTACAGATGGGAGGCTGGGGAAATTTTCCTACGGTCATGAGTCAAGATGGACATGAAGTGTGCATCTAGGTGTTTTAGGGAAAGGCCCACTGTTTACACGCTGGGAATGTCTTCAAGAATCTTCTTCGTCTAGACTGAGGTTTCAGCTGTCTCAAAACACAAAAATCTATAACTTCACAGGGAATCTTCACTATTTTCTCTGTACCAGACACTGTAAATTTATAAAACTCAAAGGGTCATGTTGATAAACTATGATTCTAATACTCAACTACAGCCCTCAGCCTTTTAAAACTAATTTATAATTTTTTTAAGCATCACTCAAACCTGCCCACTCATTATGTGCACACCAGCAGGGGGCACTGTTGTCAGAGGACCTTCGTGGCCTGGACTGTTCATAGGAAGTGTGCTAACACCTGTTTCTGACTTTTCCATTCTGTCCCAAACCTGGTCTTACTTGCTCATCGTCAGAGCCTAACAAGTTGGGTTCAAAGCACCTAAACTTTCTTTCATATCAATATCTTAGTTGCTGTTTTCGTATGTCTCTGAGGCTGAGCAGCCCGTTTACACAGGTTAAAACAAATTATCGCATGCCTTTGCCTTCACAGTCTGGCATCCGTGGAGCACAGCACATCCTCTCGACTCTTGGGAACAGATTAGAGACTACTATCTCCTTTTCTGTTTCTCTCTGATTCTCTTGGTAATTTTGGCAGTTTTTAAAGCCAGCTTTGCAAAGATAGGGAATCTCACAAAAGATGTGGTTGTCTGAAGTCAGAACCCTGAAGGTACTCCAAGCTGGGAATCCACCGTGTGTCTGATATGTTATAGAGTTTTGCTCAGCTTGTAGTGACCTTCCAGGGCTCCTCACAGTCTGTGTGGGAGCCAGGGCATTAGACCTGAGGAGTGAGAAAGGAAGGTTCAGGAAAGAAAATGACTTTCCTTGTTATATCTTGGGCATTCTTACCTAGCTAGCTGCCTTTTTCTCTCATAGAGGGTGTAATATGTCCACCCCAGGGGAACCTCAGTTCGTCCCCACAGTGATAAACATACATAGGTCATATTCTCACTTCACATTTGACTCCCTTCTTGCAAGGTTTCCTCACTGTTTGGCTGTATAAATTCAATAAGAAGACAGGAGAGCCTGTGCTCCCCAGGATCTGTAAAGCAAGCTTCCACTGTAGGGTCACATTGCTGTGGGGTTCAGCCGATATACAACTCATGTCAGCTCTTGACATCCTGTTGTTTTTGCAGACCAGGATCATTCTTCTGAACTGGTGTGCATGGTTCCTGCGCATGAAGAGGCCCGGGGAGGACAAGGTGCGGCCAGCCTGTCAGCACAAGGCTCGCCGCTGTAGCCTGGCCAGCGTGGAGCTGAGCGCAGGTACTGGGCCACCCACCAGCAATGGCAACCTGCTCTACATTGGCTTCCGAGGCCTGGAGGGCATGCACTGTGCGCCCACTCCAGACTCTGGGGTTGTGTGTGGTCGTTTGGCCTGCTCCCCAACACATGATGAGCATCTCCTACGTGGTGCACACCCCTCTGATGGGGACCCTGACCTGGCCAAGATCCTGGAGGAGGTCCGCTACATCGCCAACCGCTTCCGCTGCCAGGATGAGAGTGAAGTGGTCTGCAGTGAGTGGAAATTTGCAGCCTGCGTGGTGGACCGCCTGTGCCTCATGGCCTTTTCTGTCTTCACCATCATCTGCACCATTGGCATCCTCATGTCAGCCCCAAACTTTGTGGAGGCTGTCTCCAAAGACTTTGCTTAGTATCACTGCATCAGAGATGCAGATAGGACAAATATCTGGGGGGTGAGAATTAGGGTCCTAATCCCATATTGTCCTAATTGGAACAACTCTGAAGAATCCGTGTAGCTGTCAGTCTTGAGACTTGGTTTCCTTGTTACTTTAACTAAAAAGATTCCAGCACCCTTTTGTTCTCTCCTCTCACACCATTGGCATATCCTTGTCCTCAGCAGGGGCACTAAGTGGTCAATTGTCCCCTCTGGCCAGCCCTGCAGGGTGGATCTCTGTGGTTCTAGTCGGCCAGTAGAGCCTGTCCAGTTGGTGTTGCATGCCTGCATGCCCCTTTTTGCTGGCTCACACGAGAATTCACTGTCTGCCTGTGCTATGCACAGACCCGGGGCGGAAAGCCAGTCTGAGCAGCACTCACTGAGTCCATTGCAACAACATCCTTGGGAAAGGAAGGCAAACAAATTCAATTCTCTACAGGTTTTGCTGTGATTCAACTTACCTTTTTTTTTTTTTTCCTTTTTGTATTTACCAATGACTAACTTTATACCGGAGAGAAGGTTGGCCTTCTAAATGATGTTTGGATCAAGGTGATTCCTGTAGATCTGTACTGTCAGTGAAATTAGCACACAGGTTGTGTCAGTTCTAAGTTAGGACTAGCCCTAGCCAAAAGCATTTGGAGGCTGTGGCCCCTGTAGATCCCAAGCTTCATGCTGTGCCCCTGTCCTGAGCGGTTAAGTGAGTCGGTTTTATTGTGCAAAGGCTGAAGGGCAAATAGAGTTCTGAGTGTTAACCAGCAAGTAGCTGATGTTTAGCTAAACCTTTTTGTGCGTGTCTTTAAAATAAGAGCATGTTAGTTGCTCTGCATGTCATGCTTCACTAGTCTCAGAAGTCTGTGTGTCTGTACAAGTGAGCACCAAGTGAACATATCCTGTGGCTTTCCCCCATGTTGGGCTAGAGGGAAGCAGTTGAGGCTCCTCTGGGCTACTGTGTGCCTGGAACTGAGGAGAGGTGATACCAAGCTAGTGGCATCAGGATCTGGCTTCCTTCTGGGATCCTTCCCATGGCTTCAGGTATGTGAAGGTGACTCAGTCAGTGCATGGATCCACTGGAGACAAGTGACAGGGTGGTGGTGTGTGTATGCGTTTCTCTTCCGAGTTAGGGTCTCACTGTGTAGCACACACTGGTCTGTTTGCACTTCACCTCTTGTTAAAGGGGTCTGAGGATTCTTCACCAAGAAAAAACTTTGTCTGTTATGTTGTTAATCTACTCGATGCTTAAAACTACATCGAGCTTCTGAGCTCCCCCCAAAAATTAATCTTCTGACCCCAGAGATGGAATCATGAGATCGTTTGGGATAATTATATTTCTCAAAACAACAAAAACAAAAAACTAAAACAACACTTTTCCCAGCCATTAATTAGATAAAGGCTTGGTGGTACCGTGTGTGTGTGTGTGTGTGTGTGTGTGTGTGTGTGTGTGTGTGTGTGTGTGTGTGTGGTGGACAAATCCAGAGACTTTGTTGATTTCAGCACTCACCATCTGGATCAGGGTGTTGCCCAGCATGCATCTGTTACATCCAGTGTATGATACACAGTATTTTTTATTTTTTATTTTTTGCTGGTGTTAAGTCTTTTTATTAAAGTAACTGGAAACAAATAGGTGTGTTCTGAAACCTAATGACCAGGCTTTTGTGTCTTACTGTTAGTTAAAAATCTAATCCTAGCCTTTGCTTTGACTATCTGACAATTATTGCCATTGTAAAAATAATGGTAAAGACTAGCTGTGCTCATAGTTAGAAGATGTATGTGGTTCAAAATCGTCTCCCCCTTGCTGCCATTTCCTCCTAGGAAGTTTTAGAGAGGAAGAAGGAAAGGTGGGGACAGAGGGAGGAGGAGAAGGTGGAGAGACTTTGTTGTTGCTTTGTGCTTGAAAGGTGCTTTGCATCTAGTGTTTTGTCCTAGAGAGCTTTCTGTAATGACATCTAAAGGTCTACCTCATTCCTCTTAATAGCTGCTTAGTGTTCCACTCCATTGGTGGCTTACAATTTGTTGGGTTAGCCTTTTAGTGGTGAGCACATAGCTACAATATTTCCAGGTTTTATTTTTATACACAAGTCTGTAGTTGGCATTTTGGTGCATACTGTGCCATATTTTTTGTGACTGTATCTTGACATAAATTTCAGTTTAGAAATGGACCTACTGGGTGTAAGCCTATGTGTATTAGACATTTGATAAATATTTCCAGATGGTCCTCTGTGAATTGGTCAGTGGATACTCCCACCCAGAGTACAGTTAAAAGGCCAGGTTCTCGGCTTTCTGGTGTTAAATGTTTTCATATTTAATTTTTCCCTTCCCAATCTGTCTGGGCAAAAATGATGAGGCAACAATATTTTGATTTTAGTTCATTTTACCATGAGCAAGGTTGAATTTTTCAAATATATTTTGGTAATTTCAATTTTATATTTCTATCTTTTATACAGATTTCAGGTTTTTATTCTTTTAATTTTTATTTGACATTTGTTTTTTATGTTATTTATTGACTGTGTATTTATTGACATATAGAAAATTTAAAACTCTATGTTACTAGATTATTCATGTTTTCCTTTGTAGAACATAAGATTGCCCTCTAGGAGGTCTTACTCATATTTTCTCTCTAGAACAATAGTTTCATTTGTTTATCTTTATAACTTTTGATTCTTTAAGATTCATTCTAGGAAATGTAGATAAAGATCTAGTTGCTTTTCTCCAAGGGTGGTCATTGGCACAGCAGGCATATAATCAAGCGTATCTATAATACGATGAGAGTCTTCACTCCCTCCAGATTCTCACTGTGTAAATTAAGTTTCTCTAAGTGCTGTTCTGTCTTGTTGATTAATCCTCCTTGATGCTGTTGATTTACAAAGTTGTATTCATATTAGTATCTATATTTTCAAGTGGATTCTCTCATCTGCTCCCTCCCTCTTACTCTCTGTGTCATGAGCATCTAATTGGGGTAACGATGGATTTACACAGCGGGTCTTCCTGTTTGGGAACTCCACCCTTTTAGCTTATATTCAAATCTAATTTTATGTAGTTAGTATGGATTCAGAAAAGTCCTACATATTTCTTGGTGTTCATTTCTGGGTATCTTCTCAGTTTGTTGCCATTTTCAGTGGGATGGCCTTAATTTTGTTTTCTAGCTGAATGCACAGGAAAGTAGTTGAATTTTGTATGTTATTGTTAATTAGTCACCATAATTGTGATTGTTTTGTTTGTAAGATTTTCTTTTAACTCATCCTTCCCAATATCTTTGTTTCCTTTTCTATTCAATTGCACTTGAGAACAGTAATTGGCTTGTTTGCATACTTGTCTTGTTCTTAGTGCTGATGGATATTTTAATGACCCCCAATTTTACTTGTATGAAGATATGTATTTTATTCATCATAATAAAAACTATCCATGTATCCTCTCAAAAAGTTTTCCTCTCTGGGAAAAATTGGGATAGTGTCTTTCTGTCAAAGCCTTCCCAGTATCCATAGACAAGACCAGAAATTTCAATTTACTCAGCAGAAGGTTTCATTAACAGAAAAGTTAAGGTGATACTCTAATATATTCCTGAAGTGATGGCTACACTGTCTTATGATTTTGACTGTCAATGTTCATAATTAAGATTAATTAATTTATAGCTTGTTTATGTATCATTGGATTCAATCAGCTGTGGGTGAAAAATATTCAAGAATCACATTTTTTACTGGACATATGCAGACTTCTTGTTATTCCTGTTAATGCAATATAGCAAGTACATATCATTTACTTTATAAACAACCTACAGATTGTGCCATATAAATGAGAGGGTTGTGGGGGTCATATCCAAATATGACACCTGTCCTAAGGACACTGAGTGAGATTCTAATTGGTTTTAGAGTCATTCTGTACTTAAGTTTGCAAGAACAGCCTGAGAGCTGTCCATGTTTCTGAATTTTTCACATCAAACAAATTAGCTCTTCTATAACATTTGGTGTCAATTTTAGTTGTATGTATGGTGTGTGTGTGTGTGTGTGTGTGTGTGTGTGTGTGTGTGTGTGTGTCTGTGTCTGTGACTGTGTCTGTGTGTCTCTGTCTATATCTGTGTTTTCTATACAGGAGCTCTTTCTTATCCCAAGCTAGTCTGGAACTCAAAATTCTCCTGCTTCAGCCTCTGGTGATGGATCATAGGAATGAACCACCAAAGCCAGTTTAAGTTGCATATTTTATTTTACAATTAATCACATCAATTTTTAAGTAGAGTTGCATAGTTTTCAACATAAGCTTTAGGATCACTGACTTGGTGTTTGTGGTGATTTTTTCACACACACACATTTGGACACAGATCCTTAGACATTACTTTGGGGACCTGATTTCTGGATCCTATCTGCCCCTAGGCTGAGCCAGCACTTGCTAGTTACAGCCGAAGACAAGGTGTCCTAGTTTGCTTTCTTTCTTTTTTTTTTTTAATCATTTTTTATTTGACAATCCCAGTTCCCTCTCCCTCCCCTCCTCCCCTACCACCACCACCCAACTAAAACCCTACCTATCACATGTCCTTTCTTCTGTTCTTCCCCTGACTCAAACTTTCTACTCCCTAATGACCTCTGCATCCTTCCTTTTCTTCCCTTCTCATTCTCCTAGCTCCCTCTCATCTCTTCCTGAACTCTCAATGTGCTCAGGGGTTCTTGACCCTTTCCCTTTCTCCAGGGGACCACGTATGTCTCTTTTAGGGTCCTCCTTGTTTATTAGCTTCTCTGCCAAAGTGGATTGTAGGCTGGTAATCCTTTACTCTATGTCTAAAATCCACATATGAATGAGTACATACCATGTTTGTCTTTTTGTGATTGGGTTACCTCACTCAGAATGGTTTCTTCTAGTTCCATCCATTTTCTTGCAAATTTCAAGATTCCATCATCCCCCCCCCCCCCCCCGCGGAGTAGTACTCCATTGTGTAAATGTACCATGTTTTCTCCATCCATTCTTCAGTTGATGGGCTGCTTCCAGTTTCTG